GTTTCAAAAACCAATAACTGTTCGCAAAATATCGTTCGTGGGCAAGTGGTCATTACCCCAAAATTTCAGCTTCGTAGACTTCACGGTTCCCGAAATAATAATTTATCCGCAAAAATTTTCACGGGGCGGTAGGTGATACCTGAGAGCGCGGGAACGCTGGATTTGAATTTTCAAGATCGTTCGTGGGCAGGGGCCACAACCCTAAAATTTCAACTCCCTAAACTTCGTGATTCCCGAGACAATAATTTACCTGTCGAAAATTTTCACGGGGCCGTAATTATCACCCGCGGGCAGGGGAAAGCTGAATTTAAATTTTCTGGGTAGCATATGGATGAAGAACATGCCTACAAAATTTCAGCCTTTTAGTTTCCTTAGTTCTCGTGATAATAATTTTACCTGCCTAAACTTTCACGGAGCCGTACGTACTACCCGCAGGTATGGGGGGACTGAATTTAAATTTGCGGGGTCGTACGCGGGTGGAGAACGTTCCCCTAAATTTTCAGCTTCCTAGCTTTTGTAGTTCCCGAGTTGAAAGTTGCGAACAATTTGCTGTGGACACGCACACACACATACATACACACAAACACAACCCCGTGACAATATGCGTCTTGTACTGCTGTTACACAGCACAAAACTCATAAAAATCGGTGAAAAGAATGTTACCTGGTTGAAAGAAATTTTTGTTTGTGAGCCCACAAAACCCTTTCGAGAGCAATCAACAACATATCCTTGTGGCTTGCCCAATGGTGGTTGAATTTCAATCAAAACCTAAATCACAATATAAATTTACACAAGATCAACACCTGCTATCGAAACCTACGGAGTCCTTCCTCTCAAAAATTGTTCTGGACCAGGAGGGGATCGAACCACTTCCCTTCATGTCCAAACGCAATGCGTTACCACTACACCATCGGTCTTCACGCACCAGGTTCAGCCTGACAGCACATCTACTGTGTATCATCTGCCTTTTAAGGCAAGGTAGACCTTTTTTTTCTTCTTTGTGATTAATTTGCACAAAAGTGCTGTTGTAACTGTACAGAAATGAGAAGAAACCTTCAAACTATCAGCGGAATTGATGTTTAGCAAACTGAGCGCATTGTGATTGACCAATATATGTGCAAGTGCTCGAACTAGCATTGCACGTATTTCCGCTGACTGTAGTGAATTCTTCGGACCAGCCAACCATAATAAGCCTAATAATTAAAAAAAAAAGACATTAACATTTAATATAATAAAGTCACAGTGTACTAGTTTGAGGTATCACATCTCCCTTTTAGGAAATGCTATATCCCAGTTCTGATTTTTGGTCAAAGTTCAACCAGATTTTACAGCTCAAGGATCAAATCTGAAAAGTTCCCAACTGTTTTTTGAATGATTCCAGTAAATGTATCGAACAGAACTACGAGGGACGATGTGCAGCGGGAGGAAGGACAGAGGAGAGGGGGGAGGGTGGGAAATGTAAAAACTCACCAACAATAGTAAGACCACCAGGCAAAAGTCTTAAAACACGTGCGCCAGTATCGCTTATCCATTCGGCATCGATCAATTTCGAATAACTATCGCCATTCTGCAAATAATTTCTGTAGATAATACGCTGCTAACAAAACGAAATATCACTTGCAGGCGGAAAAATTTTTTTAAACGAAATTATCAAATGTTTACCCAAGCACTTTACCTCCAGCAAAAGTTTTTTATCACAACGCAGTGTCCCGAGTTTTTGACTAAAACGAGCGGAAGAGGGTCAAAGGCTTGCGCGGCTGTAGGGCCTGCTTCTGTGGGGCTGCGGCGGGTACCCACCCAAACCAGTAAACGATGTTTTACTTATAAAAAAAACACATACAAAAACGAACCATGAAATATGGGAGATTTTGGGAAAATCCGGCAGCAGCTCAAAGCTAATGTAGCATAGTATCGGGAGAAAGGGAGAGGTAGGGGGGAGGGAGAGGTGGCAGCAGCTCCAAACTACGAAACACAAAAATCTTGCTCAACACAACAATAATCGTTTCATTCCTAATCACGTCATTACGTATCACGGAGGGGAGAACTCGAGTCAGGAGACGGGACATTTGAATATCACATGGAATTGAAGGGCAACTAGGCAAGGCGAAGGGAATTAGCCATCAACTTCATTTTTTTGCTGTTAACGCCTTCTGTTTGCAAAATGACAAATCCGTTAACACAGCACAAGAGAAAGCTTTACATCATCATAAGCACCATCTGGATGATTGCACAGAGCGATATGCGCCAGATGGAAATCATCGTTCAGCTTGGAGCCAATCAGGAAACCAGCAGTAGCCATAATACCATGCTGCTTCTGCTTCTCACAATGTTCGCGAATATAGCGATCCAGCAAACGTTCCAGGCCTTTATCCAGGAAAATCATTGTCACGTTGCGGATTTTTCAATCACAGCATTCCCTGAGCAACACTGAAAAACACTCAACAATGAACTCTATCAATTTCTGACATACTACATCCATCCAGAAGCAAGCGAATTCGATCTGGAAACATTTTGACAAAAACAACTGGACGTTTTCCCTTAACGGAATCATCTTTTCTGGTGATTCTATAAAGTACAAGTATTCAGCTGTAACTCAAAAAGCCCTCACCAGCACTCTTGCCTACGAATACGCCTATAAAATTTTTCTCACTTTTATTCACTGTCACTGGGGGGAAAAAAAAGCTTCAACTCAAATTTACAACAGTTCTCCTAACTGTTAGCAAAAAACATAAAAATCATGAAAAACAGGACCTTTCCCCTCCCTCTTGGCATAAAAGTCCGAATTTTCAAGTAATATAAGGATAAAATCAAAAACACGACCTTTTTATTGAAATTTTCTAACGGATTTTGACAATTTTTTTGCAAGAAGAGAAAATGGCCGGCTTTTTCCAACACAATTTTCTAACCAACCTTCCCACTTTTTGAACTGCTAAAAAGGCTAATTAAACCCTCTAAATTAATGCAAAAAAATACAAATACCGCAAAAAAACTCAAAAATTTCAACTTTTCCGATTATTGGGGAAAAAAAGAAAATTTATATACAGGTTCTAATCACCTCACACTGAATCGTCCGGCACGTATAAATCAATCAAGAAACAACGCTAGCATGGGATTCCCACACTGACTGCCCAGTGATGGTAATTAACAGTAAGTGCGCAATGAATATCCGATTTATACCTACGCCCCCCACCCCACCCGCCCTAAAATTCACCGGAATTTTCTGTCAAACAATTATTTCTATTAGTAAAATAACAGATTCTGTAGAAGTACAATACTTGAATTTGTAAAATATCAGCAAATTTCATACCTGCCAGATGAAAAAAAAAAAAACACATTTCGACTAAAAAAATACACTCAACAAACGTTATCATGTAATAGATGATTTGCGTAGAAACAATGTTCCAAATCAACATCACTTCACTGCCGCATAAATTTATTTCAATGGATGGATTGCGGGAAAAAGGTATGTACAATCGAAAAAACCGTAAATCACTACAGAGAAAGATCATGAAGCAATCAGTGCCCAGAACTAGTGGTCAGTTACCCGCCAATTATGCAAAATATAAAGTAAAGTCAAAAAAATGAAGTCAAAAAGAAAAGTTAAAAAAATTCTGTAGAGCTATTCAATCCATTGATTTAATGGCAAGGACTAGGAATGAGTATTCAAATTAAAAAAAAAAAGATGGCAATGATGATGACCAAACTGAACTGATACTTTTTTTGCCCGAAAAATAACTTTCTTGCAAATTAATCAGTTTTGATTTGCCAGCTATTTAAATTACTGATTTTAAAGACGAGGGGCGAGTTTTTAAACTGAAAAAAGACGAAAATGACGATGAAAAAGCTGAAATAAATTTTTTCTCGTCTAAAATATAACGTTCTTAACTGAAATATAACTTTTTTTACCAGAAACATAACTTTTTAACAAACAAATCAGTTTTGAATTGTAAACAATCTAGTGAAAATTGGTCCGTGTTTCGAGAAATATGCGCAAACATAACTGTTATAAAATCATACAACTAGCACATAAAGAAGGCAGTTATAAATCATTTTTAGCAATCTAAAAAGTATTGAATTTTTCAAGAAATTTGCATTTCTTTGTGCAAATGGCAGATGTTCTTAATAACTGAAAATAAATCTTAATAACTGACAGCAGAAAGAGAAATCGGCGCCCTACAATTCGGTCTGGTAGAAAACTATATTCATTTTTCTCATTTTTTGAGAAGTCGGCACTCCACAATTCGACCTGGTAGAAAAATATACTCTTTTTTTCCATTTTTTGAAAAATCGGCACTCTATAATTCCATGTGGTAGAAAAACATACTCATTTTTCCCGTTTTTTTCTTTTTTTTTATAAAAAATCGCATCATATTTCGGGCATAAATGTTGTGCAATCAATAACAAATAAGGAAACGAAAAACTGAAAATGAAGGACAAATAATGAAGAGTGTACATATACCCATTTTTTTCTTTTTTTTTATAAAAAATCGCACTATTACCCAGATAATGCTATACAATCAATAAATCATAAAGAAACGAAAAACTAGAAATGAAGGACAAACGTTGAAGACTGTTTTTCAAAAATAAAGACTCTGAAAGTCACAAAAAAAAACTCAAATATCTCAAAAAACTGGCAAATATTATAGCTCGAAAGTTCCATCCATACATTCAGTAACTTCGTACTGCAAAAATCAAGGACAAATATCCCGCATATCGTAATCAGTAAATTACCATTTATATTGAAGAAATGAGAAAATGCAAAATCAGTGGGCGCCAGAAAAATCGAACTAAAAAAACGGCATGAATAATGCTGGAGCATTTCAAAATCAGTGAAGTTGAGTGATCAAAGATCAGGATGGCTTGTCTCATATTATGCCGAGGAAATCCGTAGTTTTTTTTAACTCGATCTCCTGCGTTCCTCTCTGAAAAAGTGGATCAATTCCCCTCTTAAACAATCGGCTTCAACAAAAATTAATGAACTGATAGTGGATCCTACGTTCAGGCTCATGGGCGGATCCACACCCTCCCTGGAGAGCGATGGGTTTTTCGGCACAGATAGCAGTGCTAAAACCGTAGAAAATTCTCTTCCCTCCCCCTCCCGCCTTTCCTTCACTCCCAGAGGGCATCACTTTTCCCCCTTCCCCCCCC